ATATTAAAACAAGCTGTACAATCAGGTCAGATAAAGTGGATAGAAAAGTAAGACACCACAGACGACATAACACAACTGTCGCGGCGCTATAGTGCTCCCAAGCTCATTGGTGCAAGAATCTGGACTGCTTTTAGCTCCGCCGCAAGTCCTGTGACCTGTCATGTTCTGTCCTGTATCGGATAGCGAGCCTCCGAAAGCCAACACTTATGCTGGATTGCAATTATTGAGAGAAAATCTCAAAAGAAAAACTCCAGAATTTTCTTACTGGAGAAGAAAAATCCGTTTCTGGGCTGAAAGATGTTTACACCTTTTTAGGCGAATGACCGCCTAGGACATTTGTTTTACTTTTACGTTTAAGGTCGGCCGGCACGAGGACGAAGTAACATGGGTGTAAGTTGGCAATCTCTTTCCTTCGAATTTGGCTTATTTTGGTGTAGGTCCGCGGTATCAGGAAACATTTAAAACGTCTCAATGCGCCAAAGCATTGGATGCTGGACAAGCTTGGTGGCAATTTTGCCCCACGCCCAAGCACAGGTCCGCATAAATTACGTGAATGCCTCCCGTTGTCTATCTTCATAAGGAATCGGTTGAAGTTTGCGCTCAACTATGCTGAATGCACTAAAATATTGGCCCAAAAGTTGATCAAAGTAGATGGAAAGGTGCGCACAGACAAGAAATACCCTGCGGGTTTCATGGATGTCATCAGCATTGAGAAGACAAATGAACACTTCCGCTTGGTTTATGACACTAAGGGACGGTTCGCCATACACCGTATCCACCCAGAAGAGGCCAAGTACAAACTGTGCAAAGTACGAAAGGTTTTGATCGCTTCTGGAGGAGTTCCTTATTTGGTAACGCACGACGCTCGGACCATTCGTTACCCAGATCCCAACATCAAAGCGAACGACACTATCCAGGTTGACATTGCCACCGGAAAGGTGCTCAACCACATCAAGTTCGAACCAGGTGAGTTGAAAGTTGCTGGCACATACCATTGTAGGTAACATTTGCATGGTCACTGGTGGCCGTAACTTGGGGCGTGTTGGGACGATCACCCAATGGGAGCGTCACCCCGGTTCCGTGGAAATGGTACACGTTCGCGACAGTACTGGACAGCAATTCGTTACCCGTCTGAACAATATTTTTATCATCGGCAAATCTAATAAAGCCTGGATTTCTTTGCCGAGAGGCAAGGGTATCCGGTTGTCTATTATTGAGGACCGTGACCGACGCATCAAGGCACGACGATTGACTGCTTAAATCAATAAAAGATACTGGTGTGAATCGCTGCCTTTTGCATAACTACTGGTATGTCACCTTCAACAAGCCGGTTGTTGGTAATTCTACACTTTCGTTATGTGATATTTAACAATGAGGAAAGCAATTGTTTCAACTGACTGGTTAATGGGTCGGGTGACGGACGAACAATCATTCAGTGCCACGTAGGTGTTTGTAGTTGTGCAGATGACTCCGGGTGACTTGCGCCCTATTTTTCTGGACCTGTGGGGTTGGTTTACGACTAATCCCGAAGCCTTTACCTCGTGCACCGAATATAAGACAATCCATTTTGAAATTTGATTGGCCCCAGAATTTTACTAGTTTATCAGATTTCACTTCAATGCGCTCTAACGAGAAGAAGGTAAATACGAAATAAACTAGTCAATTCCCTTGGTCTTTTTTAAGCTATGATTCAGCCGTGTTATTTTAAGCGACATTTTGTCGCCCATTGTCCTTTTTAAGATAATCAAATAGTTCTATAGGTCTACTGGGCCTTCACGAGACCGAGTTCCGACAATGTATCAATTAGCAATTGATTAGCGCCTTCGATGAGGCTTTACTCCATAATGGAGAAAACGAATTTCGAACTCGATGGAGAAACTCATCCTAAACCTGTGTAACGCGACCCATAAGTGTACAAGCCCCGCCACCCAACTTTGGTGGTAGACAGCTTTGCTATCGTCTGATTCAATACCATGCCTAACCTATCGGTGCGTTGTGTGGTTCGCCACCCCAAGTCGCAGGGCTTAGGTTACCGGTTTCCATGACGGAGCAGCAGGTCTTGGTGACTATGGGGTTCGCCCCGTCTGCTGTTCACACATGTGTATTAAGAAAAGTGTATTTGGATTCTTTTCGATCGCCGCTGGCGCTCAACTGGTAAGTAGGTAGCAGGTGGGTCCACTTTGGCGTGGTGACTTGTTAATCCGAATTTGGTCATACCTGATAAGTCGAAGGGAATCAGCCAGGTAAATCCTAGTCTCCATTTGACTCAGTTCTTTTTTGGATTTTAAAACCATTGATAGTGCGCTTTCATGTGTCGGTTTTGGTTGCCTATTTGGTGAAAAGAGCAGGTGATTTGAATGTTGAGAGCTGAGTCAGAGGGAAGATGAGGAATTCATAGGAATTGCGGTTTCATGAAAAATGAGTAATGCCCAAGTGCCACTGCGACACCCAGCCATGGCACCCTGTCTCTGACCTCGGGTACCATGATCTCGGGGTCCCCATCCAAGGAGCCTAACGGGACCTATGTGGCCCGGTCTCCTGGTTAAATCAGTTCGATCTGCTACCTCGGCAAACATCGCTCGCCAAAGGGCCATATTTGGTAACATGCGCGACACGTCTCAAGCACCGTAGTCCATGGAGGTCGACCATGTTACGCTAAACGGCCGTGATTGCCTAAAACTACCCAATCTCAGCATTGTTTGGCCCATTCCCCACCAGACTCGTGCAATGCGAAGTAGACAGCGGTGCTTGAACACCGCCAATCTATTTTTATCCTGTTCCCGTGATGGCCAAGTCTCTGCACCGCAGGGGCTGGCTGGCTTAACTGATGCAACAAATACCTGACTCTTGACCGACAGCCGGATGTCACGACGGCGCCACAGATCTCATTTTGGCAAATGCCAATCGAACTTTCTGTGTGCCTGCCGACAGTTCATCTGTGACTCGTCCGCCAGGTGACAGCTGTACGATGACGATGAGTTTAATATGACGTTCACTCCCGCGAGTTGCTTTCGTCGATGTTATTCTTTTACGTATTCCGATTTGTCAAATTACACGGGTAGGTGCTTTGCTGCGGTTGTGCTGTCGGAAGTATATCGGGTTCAGTTGTCTGGAACGGTTTTAAATGTCCGTGGGGTTTGGTCTATCAAACTTGTTTTTATGTGGAGTGGGAGCTGGGGATCTCGTTCTGGGATTAAAGATTCGTTAGCTTTTGGCTGTCAAACCGCTGCTGACTCAGACGTTTGCCCTTGGGAGCCAGCTGGTACAGATGCAGTGTCCTCCCACCAGTTTAGGAAACAGATATGAGCGTACTTGGGGCCGCATTCGATTAATTAAACTTCGTCAAGATGAGTTCGGGGTTTTGTTAATTGTATGGGACGATGCATCTGGTTAAGTCCAGGATTAATCAACTAAGTTGGTATGAAGACTTATGATGAACACTTGCAGTGGTAAGCGGACAATGGCCCCTTGAGGGGTCGCGTTTGTGGCTTTACATATTAGTGATGGGATGGAATGGACAGCTTCCGACTGAGTACAAGGCAAACCTCTTGTTGCGCTGCGAAAACGGTGGTCATCCAGGGGGTTCCGTTTAGTCTTCACTCGCATGTTTGAGTGAGGAGGTAAAGCCGTAATTGTGATGGAAATTCTTTAGCTCCTCAGACGGAATGGACAAACTCCCTTCGAAATGGTTGTAAGGTATACCAAAGCCGGGAATCAACTAGAGATACCGGTTGACTATAGTAGCCGATAAGTTGGAGCTGGTATGAAAGAAAGGGAATCAAGACTACTCTTTCACGACCGTGAACAAGTATCAGTTCCGACGGAGGTTGCTCTTTGAAGTCAATGTTTAGCCTTTGAAGTGGCGTGGTGGATTTGACCAAGTTCTCGGTAAGAAATTTTAAAAAATTGGTTTCCATCAAATGCTGATCTTGTAGTAACTGGTGGCGGATTTGACTTCATCGGCAGAGTAGGGGAGACTTTATTCTAGCAGAGTGAAGCGTTCAGACGACTCGCGGATGAGGCATCGAATGGTGTAATTTTTTGAGTGGTTTGAGTGATGTGGACTCCGAAAAGAAGCTACTAGACAATGCCCAGAGTTAGCCGCTTTGTTTTCATGTCCCGGATGGTAGATAACATCAAAGCTGTAGCATGTTCTAGTTCGCTTTTGTGCATTTCAAAGAACTGCAACGTCAGGGAAATACGTAATTGATCATAAACATTATATATATATATATATTATATATATATATATAATACGACCACGCACCGATGAGTGCATTTCACTCACAAATCGAAGTATTCAAGGGGAGTATAATGTGAGGATTCCGCGGGCTCGGTGTGAAAACCGTAATCTATTCGGGGCTGGTGTTCAGTTCGTCGGATCACACGCTCTTCGGACGGGATCAAACGTCCAAGGTGCCCAATGCACCCAATCAAGCCGGTGGCCGCTGCCACAACTAGGAAGGAGTGGCTGTGTTGTTCGTGCGCCTCTTGATTGGTTTGGAATCAGGGCTTTTAGCTAACTCCCCTAGTTGAAATACTGGATGGTTCACTGATCCGGCTATAGCTCCAGATGTTGGCGTGAGTAGGACTTCCTCAGCAAAGACCATTTGAGACGCTTGGTCTTATAGGAGCATCTCGCGAGGTGCAAGGGTGACCAGCCATAATCTGATACACCTACCCCGAACCCTAATGAGGCTTTCGAAGGCATTTTAGATACCATTTCATCTATTCATGATTTTGTATGCTTCCAATAGCATGTAGCGATTAATAATTTGGTTGTAGTCGACTACCATGCGTCTTGTGTGCCGTTGACTTGTGGTTGCAAGAACTTGCACGCTCCGATTTGAAGTTGAAGTTTCGATGATGCTTTCCTTAAGAAGTCGACGAACTTCGACCGGATGATTTTCTCGTCGTCGGGAGTGACGGCGCGATCTGGTAGCAAGTTCCCGAAGAGATGATGGTTCGATGCGTGAAGCAGTTACACTACATTACCATTAAACGAAATTGAAACTTTGTAGAATTTCAAAAAGTCATACCCCAGTAATACATCCGCATGCAAATGTGAAAGAACAGTGTGAAATTGTTTTTGAGGCCTGTGATAACCAGGTAGTGGTCTTTCGTATGACGGACCAGTCTTATGGGACATTCAGGTGGTGCCGTTTCACGAGAGATTCAAAAATGCAACTTTCAGAGCTCCCACTGGGATCTCATTCACGGTCAGTTTTATCAAGGCGCTTGAGAGCGCAACCACTAACCGAGTTTGACCGTTTCGTGGGGAGCGATCTGCAGACTTGTTTGAAATAATCCTTCCCACAGTTACTGCAGACTGCGTCCTTAGCTGGACATTTGAAACGAGGGTATCCGTCGTTTCCTCAATGGTAGCATTTAGCTTTGACGGCGAATGACATTTGCACAGGTAGGTTGTTGCTTTCTTTGCGATCAGCATAGTGATTTTCCACTGGTTCAGATGAACCTGAGGTCGCAACTGTATACGACATTGGTGTCATCTGGAAAGCACTGGACTATTTTGCCGCTTCAAGCGACCGAGCTAATTATATAGCGGTCAATAAATTCAGACGTCTACTTTCACGAAGGCACTGTCATAAAATGCTTGACTGA